TTGATGTTGGTAATTTAGGGAGCTGCTCCAGCAACGAATGAAGTCGACTACTCAAATGATGCAGCCGATGAAGGAAATTGCGATGATCCTGAGCTAAAAGCTATAGTTGAAGGAGCACTTGCATCAGAAAGGGTGCGTGGCGTATTGTAGTGTTTATACTTTTCAAAGAGGACTTCGCGCATTCCTTACAAAACCATTAACTTCCTATCTCTATTCATTTTTCTGTTCAGGACAACCTTGAAGCAGCACGAAAGATTGAAAGCGACGCCGCCGCCAAGTTTGGCGGACGGTTCAACGCTATCGTCTCAGATGCTGAGTTCGCTTACGTGAACTGGTATGGCAAGCGGAACTGCCAACTGCGTGTCGGAAACCGTCACTCGCTCACCTGGGAGGACTAAGCAGACTATACTTGAATCGCAAGTCTGAACATACTTTTCACGAAGTCCGCACAAGTGCCTAAATACTGCTGCGTTGTGACGCCAGCTGCACGGCAGCACAATCACAACGATATTGTGAGCTCACCTCAGATCTTTATGTCGCTTGTTATTCTTTCGTTTTGTTTCTAATCAGTATTTTTTAATGTATGTAGTTGAGTAGTGTGCATAGTTTATTTATGACTGTTTATGTCGATGACATGACTTTATCTCACTTATTTCGTTCAAATTAGCTCTGTTTATTTTTTTGCTATTCCTCAACTTCATCGTTGTTTCCTTCGGTCATTATCATCTCCATACATCATCATCATCGCGCCGTTTCATTCATCAATGTCTCCGTGCCGGCATCAGAGACTACACATATATTTTATATCGCCAGAAATACCGGTGTCTTTCATCAGATGCTATATGCCTGTACATTTTGTCGAGAGAAGATAAAGATATTTAATTTTCTAAAACAAAATTTCCAGCGAGCGGATGTGTCCACGTCTTATCTAGAACATATTTTTCCTTCGAAACTGTGCGGAAATCTCAAAGTCCTAGAAGAAAAACCGGTTTTACACATGAATGGCTTCTACCAGGAACCGTACGGGTTTGTTCCTGAAGGTCATTTAATGAGATAACTGATTGCACCGGTTTTGTTTCATTGGATTGGCAATAAAAATGATGTTTGCGCACATTGGCTATAGAAATGAAAATCTTTGTCCTCAATCCTATTGCGATCCCAACTCTTTATGAAACAATCAATTTTATTGGTATCCTGGCTAGAATCTTGATGGCTTTTGCGTTGACGATAACGAGCGATACTAGCAATATAATCAGAGCACGTTCGGGTGATCCGCCTTGATATGAGTCGTCAAATGGCGCGATATTCCGATTGTCACTGAGTCAAAAAAAGGCTATGGTGCTACATTTTAGGAAATGTAAGACTACTTTCTTAGTCAAACACTTGAGGACATCTCATTCTGAGCTTTTTAGGTTTCCATCGCGGAAAACAATCAAAAATTCAAGGAAAACGTAAGCTTTTTTTTTGAGACAAGGGGCAGCTTGAAAAGGTCTACTACTTCAACATGCTTAAATTGGCACTCCAGGAAAGCGAAGGAGAGATCCACGTACTCCTTATCTGACTTGTTCCGTAGCACCCTACTTGAACACAGGACATACTTGAAGTGGGAATGTGAAAGAAATTGCTGAGGTATGTCGCTTT